AGAGCGTGATGCAGTGCTGCCTTGGCCAGCTGACAAGGAGGTGACCGCTATCACACTGCAGCCAGGAAACTGGCTGCCTGGGGTGCACCACACAGCATGGCAGCTTCTCCCCATGATCTCGCTGGCCAGAAGTATTTCGTTCCTGGACTACAACCCCACTGCCCGTGACACCCAGCGTCATGTGGCGGGTGAAGGCACTCCCAGTGCACTGCCTGTGTGAGTGGGGTATAATCTAAATGAGAGTAACTGGGGCAGGAGGTAGAGTTGAGGGTCGTGTTCGGGGCAGGAGGCTTGATGTATATGCATGTGAGAGACTGCACATAGCTCCCTGTGAGTTGAGCTCCTATGTCATGTTCAGTTTCAAGCAACCTTCCCCAGCATCTTTTGGACTAGTATATTTGCCAGGCATCTAATGGTAATATCTGGGGAGTATTGAGTACTGCACCTGCATACCTGTTCAGCCAGGAATAATACTGGGAAAATCACACTGAAGTCCTGTGGGATGACAGCAAGTTGAAAAAATTAAACCAGGATAAGAGGAAAAATAGGACCGTCCAAGAGAGGGTCAAAACGTCATGCCATGCTGAGGGGTCTTTGGGCACTGCAGCTAATGAAGAACAAAACCCTGCTTCGTAACTGCCATTTTTTTCTTGCCCTGTCCATGCAACGAAAGAGAAGTAGGACAGTCTCGGATCAGAAGGAAAATGCTTTTTGTATAAACCAGCCTGTGGACCTGCTGTTTCCTGAGGCTGCTGAGTGAAATAATTTAGCAGGGTTACAAAAGGACTGAATGGCATGTGGGTGTTAATAGCATTTGCAGCTATGTAAGCAGCAGTAACAACAGCAGAGTAATTAAATCTCATCCTTCAGAGGGGAAGCTGATCACCTGAGTGGGGCTGGGATTTCCCCCTTGCACAATTGCCAGGTGCCTTCACCGGCTAATTGAAATATGGAGTGCTGGCTGGGGCCAAGGGCATGAGAGTGGCTTGATGGATCTAATCTCTGAACAGACAGAGCAGCTCTGGTCACGCTCCTGCCCCGAGGCCTGATAGCTCCCTGGGTACTGCTATCTGTTATCTCTGGCTGCAGCTTTCTGCTTTTTTAATTTTTATTTTCTTTTTTTTTTTTTTTCTCTTGAGCCAAGCTTCAAATGTATTGCTCTGGCTGAGTCATAACTGCTGGATGAGATCTCTCCATCTCCACTTGCTATTCCTGCAGCTTCCTTCACTGACTTTTAACCTGAGAGCAGTAAAAAGCATAGCTGAGAACAGGCAGACATGGCCCTGGGCCCTGACCAGACCCAAGGCAAGAAACGTCTTCATCTTATTTCCTCTTGTTACAGCTTTTCTGTCCCTTAACAGTTGGTCTGCTGGCTCTGTGGGCAACTGGCTCCAGACTGGCTGCCTCTTGTGGGGGTTTCTGCTGTAGGATGCAGCATCTGTCTCAGCCTCCTCTTCACCCTCTTTTCCTTTTCTTTGTGTCCACCTGCGTCTATTTCCTGAAGCAAGCTCAAGTCCTGAGGGCTTTCCATCTCAAATCCAAGGGGGCAGCTGAGGCTCAGCCCCAGTGGGTATTAGGGACCTCACCAGGCAACTGCCAGCCCGCCTGATGGGAACAGGGAGAAAAAGGATCCGTTTTCTCTGAAGAAGAGCCACTTTCACATTTCTAGGTGGTGGCTGATCCCTGTGAGGCTTGAAGCTTGAACCACTGGTGCACAAAAGCAGAAAGAAAGGTGGATCTCTGCTTGTAGAAAGGAGGTCGGCCAAGTGTCTGGTTGTAGACATAGGGAAAATGTCCTGGAGGTTGGAGTGAGGATAAAAAACGCAGTTTGAGTGTGCTCTGTGCAAAACCCCTGTCTTTGCCATCTGTCTGCCCTTCTGCCCCTCCACAGTGCCTTTGAGAATATCTCCTTGCTCATCAGGTCCCTCTCGGCATAAATTTGTAGAAATCTCCCCGTCCACCATGCACTGGTGCCACCTGCGCCGTCGCAGGCAGGGATGGTAAAGGGGCAGGTCTGATGTCACACTGAGTATGGTATAACTGCAGGTCGCTGGAAGCATGGATGCTGCTGTACCCCGGCTACAACGGCATCCCCCTCCCTGGGATCTACTGTGGTGCTTACATGGTCACCAGCCCGTTGCGCAAGCTGGCCTAGCACAAAGCCGTGCACCGGCCTTTCCTCTGGGCTGGATTTTGGGTGAATTGCTGCCGTGAACCATCCCTTGTGGCTGTGGGGAGGCTGGTCCTGATGCCAAGGAGAGGGAGTATGTGGCAGCAAGGCTGGCTACTGCTTCTCCAAGCTATGCCTGCATCACTGTTGCCTTCCTTGGAGGTGTTTGAGGTGAAAAAATAGCCTTGGAAAACAGCCAGTGTGCTTTGGGAAGTGATGGGAAGTGCTTCGGGAAGTGATGCCCAGAAGAGAGAAAGGCCAGGAGCTGGCTGGTGTGTCTGTCTGACAGGCTAAAGGCAAGAAACAGTGGCCCATCATCTTCAGCTATTCACCTGGCTGTGGGACAGGCTCTTCCCAAGCCTTTGATTTCTATCTCTACAGTTTTTTGCCTTTTCCCATCCTAACCAGAACCGGTTTTGTAAAGGGGCTGGAGCAAAACCATCAAAGCTAACAGTTCTGGCATTCCCTCTTAATAATACTGAAGTGTTTGCTGAGGTATTTTAGTTCCTGCTTACTGCTTTTTCCCAGGCGTATTCTTGTTGACTTTAAATAGCTATCAAGAAAGTGCTCCAGCCAGCTGGGCTGCTGAGCGGTGCTCACGGAGAGCTCGAGGATGGGCTGAACCTGTGGTAGCCCACCTTGCTCTGGTGCTCTTGAGACAGAGCAGTGGATGTAGCCACAGGGTCTGCCCTCCAGCTGTCACGCAGGAGGGGATACCTGCAAGGTGATGTCTTGAATCCTGTGGCCTGTCCTGGGGAGAAAACCTCGGTCAGCAGTTGGCCTCTGCAGGTCATCTGGCTGCAGGAAGCTGGAGGAGCTATGTCTCTTTTCTATAGCTCCCTCCCTCCTCCTAGTGAGGAAAGCATGGGCAAAGCCAGGTTCTTCTCCAAGGGTGCCCCGTGGAGGTCTCCAGGGAAAAGCCAATCTTTTGAGAAGGAAGTAGGTTGCCAAGAACTTTCTCTAATTCTCTGAAAATCATTTCCTAACACGTTGGGGAATTAGCCTGCCAAAGTACAAATTACCCGGCAAGGAAATCGCTACCTCCAGATTAATTCCTAGCTGTTTTGTCTCTTCCCTGTTTGACTGATGTAAGTGTTAGGTAAATATTTGTACAACACAGAGAATTGCCGCCCTTTCTTCTCTTTTCCAAGGGTCAGGGAAATGTCACTCGTTGGCACTTGTGTGCAGGCGGGCTTCTGTGTTTGCTGTGAGGCGGGCTGTGTGCCAGCCATGCACAGGAACCAAAGCACGGACCAGCCCGGGAGTTGCCGCGGCGGAGCGGCCGGCTGTGGTGGCCAGCATTCTCTTCCCAGGAGAGGCAGGTTCCTGATGCTTCGGCCTGAGCTTATTCCACAGAGCAGTGAAGTCCTGAGTTGAATGAATTGAATGAACAATGAAAGCAAATAATCTCTCCCCTCTGCACAAAAGAAAAAAAACTGCTTCTCTTGATGTCCTTCCTCAGTGAATCTCCTGGAGTGAACTGACTATGGTTGCCATTTATTAATTTTATTTCTGTTTTACTTGGTTCCTCTCTAATGTAGCCAGTCCCACTCTTCTGGGTCTCTCCTCTGGAAAAAAGTGTGTTCCCCTCTCCTACTACTACAATGAGCCCTCAAAGTACCGAGCGCTGAGTTTCATGCAAACTACAAAGTCTGTTTCAGCCCCATTGCAAGTGGAGCCATGTGCCCAGCTGCAGAACACCCAGAAACAATGGTTCCTGCCTCCTTGCTCTGAACGAGGTGGAAGCTCACCAGTTATACATTATATTATGTGAAGATACAGGAATTTCTCTTTTCCCATGACAGTCAGTCCCTGAAGCATGAGATGTGCTTAGCTGCATTAATCAGTAGATTACTTACCCAGAGTGTCTGACTGAAAAATCTTCTGCAGAAGATAAATACTGATGTTGATTTTTTAGTCATAGTCTTAAACTGGTAGCCCCAGATCAGAATCTGGGGGTGGGAATACCTAGGTCAGAAATTTGTGGCTGTTCAGCATCTAACAGGGCCTGAATGAAACCCACACATCTAAGCCAACACTCGTGTCAGGAAAGCAGGACAGCCTAGTTGCCTCTGAGTATTGTCTCTCAGTTGCATCTCTGACTACTTACTTTCACATTTTCCGCATTTCTTGCACTTTCTTTTCATTAATTGTCCCCTCTTTCACCACATCATAGGAGGCAGCTTCAACATCTGCACTTTCTGCGCACCTTTGCCAGACCCTGCAGCACCCAGATTCAGGAGCAAGTAGAGACAGAGCTTTACAACCCTGTTTGTAGGTGTAATAACAGACCAAGAGCTTAGCACAGCCAGGGAGGGGGTCCCATCAGGTGCGTTCTTTGCTGTCATTTCCTTCAAGAAAAGATCGAAAGCTTTTATTGTGCAAATGGGTGCATATTCAGAATAATATTCTTTTGATGGTTAAATTTATTAGTAATCTGGTTATTGTCTTATTTTTCTTTGGGATTACTAGTTAAAAAAATTGATGTTCTTTAGTTTGACCAATGGGATTATCTGAGGGATCTACAAAGAGGTTCCCAGTCCTGTGGTGATTAATGGAATCTCTGACATGTGTTTTAGAACTATGATGAATCTTTAATATAACAGTTTAATAATAAGAAGGGAAGAGCTTTTAAGGAAGACAAAGGCAATTTCTCTCTCTGTGTCACTCTGCCAGCTCCAAGTAATGTAAACAACTCCTGGTCTCTGCTGGACCGTTCCAGAGTGTTAGAGGTATCTCAGCCTTGTAAAGGACCAGTTTATTCTGGTAACTGCCACGGCTTCTTTTTTTAGCTTGTACTCTGACATCTCTTTCTGTTTCATCTGCGCAGGATACGAAAGCTGGAGGGAGCTGGCTAAGGCTTTGGCAGACACGAATGTCCCAGGTGGGGACCCAAGCCTTCAGTTTTACTATCCACGGAAGCTGGGATACCAGGTGAGGAGGCTTGAGATGTCTTCTGAATGTTTAGAAGGGCAAACCTTCCTTTCTGATGCTGGCCCCAAGAGACAGCTCTCTCTCCACACAGAAAAGAGAGCATGCCACAGGGCAGAATCTGAGCTGACTCACAGCAGTGAGAATGTACAATGACTCCGCTGTACTCAATTAAGTTATTTTAGATATACTAAGCTACAGCAGTGGGCTGAAGCTGGCTCAGTATGTGGCACAGGAAGGTAGCACTGAGCAAGATAGAAGTAGAAATCAAAGGTCAGGAGAGGGTTTGTAGCCCTCCAGTGAAGCACATCTCAGTACTGTTGCCTGAAGGAAGTGCTGGAAGAACTATTGCTTGGACCTTTTTGAAACAAGGATGGGGAGGGGGCAGAGGTAGAATGTCCTAAGTTTTAACTCTGTGCTAGCAAACAGTTATAAAGCGCTGGTATCCTTTCCCCTCAGTAGCTCACCATGGAAATTTGCTGTCAGAAAAGCCAGAGAGCATTTTCACCTCACTATGGCCATGATAGTTGGCCTGTGCTTTGGAAGGGGAGCTTGGGAACTTGCTTTTCTCTCACGTGTTCTTGTGACCAGGTTTGAGCCCTCTTGTATAGGTGTCAGTGCCGGGTCATTTATCAGGTTATTTTGACTTTCTTCTATGTGTATTTCAGAATCAAGAGCTGCAAAGAGGTGGGAAGAATAAATCGAATTATGCCGCTGTGGACAGCCCTGTCCCATGGATGCCAGAGGTGGGTGCCTTCCTCCATCATTTTGCGTGAGGGAGCTGTAGGTAGAGACCTGCACAGCGAGAACAGAAGGCAGGGACCTCTGCTTGGAAATTCATTTGCTTCACTAGAAGTCCATTTCCTATCACCTCCTCCTGGCTTAACGACACTTACAGACCTGACTAATCATCTGGAAAGACAGGAGTGTCTAGATTCCTGATAATTTGGTGTTTCCACCAGCTATCAAGGCACCAAGCACTCACCCACAATTTCCTGAGAGCAGGCAGCCCGCTACCTTCCTGAAAGGTGAAGTTTATTCAAGGCTGGGAGTGCTTAGGGCCAAGCTTTCAACAAGCAAAGCACGACTGTGGCACGCAGAAATGTCACGCTCTGCTCTTGCTCTGGCATTTGCCTGCTATCCAACCCCTGTGTGTCATACATAGAGATTTCTCCACTTCAGTGACACTTTTGATGAACAGAGACCTTCTCTGGTGACCCTTGAAGACTGGGGTAAACATTCCCTTTGTTTCCTTCATGCCTCATTTATTCTTTCCTCCCCTGTTCCCTTATCTCACCATTCCTCTTCAGATAAAGGAGCAATGCAGCCTGCTTATAACGAGAGGGACACCAGCCAGGGGGCATTTAGCTAATGGAGTCAGCTCACTAAATTCCTCAAGGTGATTAGAGACCTCCACAAATTAGAAGGGCCTTTGCAGCTCCTCTGGGGAGGGAGCAGGCTGCTGTCCCTGTGCTCCGGGCCTGAGGTGATCACCGGTGGGCCGAGGGGAAGCGTCTACCTCCAGCCATCACGTTGAGCAGTTTAGGTCCCTGCAGCATGAGCTAAAGCTTTCCTGGAAGCAGCCAGCACCAGTCACCTTCCAGTGCCCAGAAGCAAACCAGACCATTGATCTGCTCTGCTGCCTTCGCTCTGGTGAGTGCCGGTCCAAGCTGGAGCCTGGGGGCTTCCTCCGGCCGCAGGGCTTTGCAGGCAGCGTGCAGGCAGGGCTGCTTCCCAGATGAGCAGCCTCTGGCCAAGAGCCAGCGGGATGTCAGGGCCAGGACTGCTGCTGTGCACAGGGATGACACTGAGCATTTACTGCTCCCCTCTCCCACGGCACCGGGTGATACAGGCTTTGCGTGGCATCCCCCAGCTTCGCTGAGGCTTTGCTGATGTCTCTGATACCCTCCCTGGTGATTTCTCAAAAGGTGTTAGTCTTGAAACCTGCTGGCTGTGGTATGTGCAATGAGCCTTTACTGGGTTAGAAATGCAACTGGCAGGGTACGTGCTGTGGCTTGGGTGAAGGTATGTGTTTAGCACAGGGCTGATGTGCAAAGCCCTCTGCTTTGCTGGTGGGTGCCACGGTGCTGGGCAGGGCGCCCACCAGCCTGCAAACCTGCCGCCCCGGTGTGGTGCTGCCAAGGGGGGAGTGAGCAGAGAAGTGTTCTGGCCAAGAGGAAGGGGTAGGCCTGGAGATGTGCTGTGTGGGATGGTCTTACACCTGGAAAGGTGCTGCGTGCCTCCTGCCTTGTCCTGCACTGCTTCCTTTTGAGGAGGAGAGCTCTGCCAGGTAGCGGGGCTGTTGCCTCAGACCAGCTGCATTGGGAGCTTGTGGGTGCCCGAGTCCCCGGCCGTGCCCTGTGTCAGGTGTGCATGGCAGTTGTGTCACGAGAAGACTTTGAGTCCCAGGGCATACAGATACCAGACTGGGGAGCTGGTTTGGGTGGCCTTGCCCCACTCACATGCCCTGCCATGCCATTCTCCCTCATCAGCCCTGCTCTCTAATGCTGCTCCTGTGAAGCACCCATGTCCTTCACCAGTTTTCTCTTTGTCACTATGAGACAAAATTTCCTGCCCTTGCTGAGGCACTGTCTGTACCCTGAGGGCCAGCAGAGCCACCCTGGCTGCAAACAGGGCAGCAGTTCACTGGTACCAACTGCAGGAGATGGAGAGGGATCCACAGGCACAGCTCTGTATGGAGCTGCTTGCTGTCCTCTTAACCACCGGCTGAAATTTCTCCTGGTCTGGGGATTAAATTTTTCTGTAACTCTGCCCAAATTAATTACCCAGGGTCTATGATCCCATTGTGCCCTCCCCGCAGCATCTCTAAGAACTTAATTGCAGCCTGATTCCTGGGGTGAGGAGCAGCAGGTTGCCTCCCACAGGTTGGGGAGCTGGGCTTTGTTTGAATAGAGAGGTATATTCCTGACAAACATAAATAATTAATGGGGTTGCAGGGTGAGCTGGCAGCCAAGATGGCCAAAAAAAGACAGGTTTCAATTTACCTCTTTCAATTTCAGGAGATTAAATCACCGGTTTAAGTCTTCAGCCTTGGATAATGTGGTGGGAAAGTGTGCGTGTAGGAAATCCCTAATGAAGTTATACTCTGCGTATGGGGGAAAGCAGGGTTCAGCCTCACTCCTGGGTTCCTTAAGGTGCCTGTGCACGTGATCTCTACCCTCACTGTCCCTTGCAGGCACCAGAGCAAAGTCTTCCAGCTCCCAGCGTCATCCACTGCCTCCTCAGGTTGGAGACATGTAGGGCATTTTGTTTCATTAATTCAGAAAGGTGCCTGGCTATCGCCAGGGCAAACCTGCCCTGTGGGACCATGAGTGACACCATTTGGCCCTGCTGTAGGTGTTGGGGGAGGATTTTCAGAAATGTGCCCAGTTAGCTCGATCATTAGCATTTACCTCTGCAAAAGCCTCTGTTCAGCTCTGAGAGGAGAAAGGTCTGGGCTGCGCTGGGGGGCATTTAAAACGTGTGTCCCTCCCTTCATGTCTGTGCAGCCTCAGGACTTCCTTCTCTCTGGAAAGAGGTGTGAGGGATGTCCAGGAGCACAGCCCCTTGCAGGCAGCGCCTGTATAGGTGCATAGGTGCTGCACGAAACCAGAGCATTGTGCTAGGGCATTCTCCTGCTACCAAACCTGCCCTGAGAGGAAGCATCCTTTCCTTAGAGGACTAAAAGGCAAAGCTATTGCTGCTTGCTTGTCCCTGCCCACGTCCCTTCCTCACCCGCTCGTGCCCGTCAGGTGTCAGGGCTCGGTGGGACAGTGGGGTTTTGTTGCTAACTTGTCTTGATGGATTCCCACAAGTGCCCGGCACGGCAGAGCTTGCAGCGAAGCCCAGCTGCTGGCTGCTGAATGTCACCCAGTCAGGGGAGCTGGGCCAGGCAGGAGGAGGGGCCGTGGCCACTCTGCAGAGACAGAAGAGTCTTATAAACTCATGAGTTTCCAGTTGGCAGCACAATGTCGCCTTTCTTCCCTGGCTCAGGCCCTCTCTGTGCGCAGTTTATCATCCCCAGTGCTGTGCATTCCTTGGGCTGCACGCAGCTACGCAGCTGATTTCCCTCTGAGATGCCCAAGCCGCCTGGTATTAAATTAGGAAAGATTCTCCATCCTGCTCCAGTTACAGTGCAGCAGGTCGTGTCTCTGCTGCTGCAGTCCTCCCAGCTTTGCTGCTTGCCCTGGCCTCTGCTGCTGCGTCGCCTTTCTTCCCTGGGGCTCCTTGCTCACCAGGAGCCACTGGGTGTGTGGGGCCACCCCCCTGGGTGGTTTTGACATAATAGGGCTTGGGCTAGGAAGAGAGGTGTGTGCTTTCTGTGTGCCTGATCCTCCTTTACAGTCTGCTTCCCTAGGAGGGGCTGATAATCTAAAATTCTTCGCTAGAAGGAAGCAGAAATACCAAGTCTCTTAACACAAGGCCAGGGCTGCAGGCAGGGGTTAATTCGGCATGCTCAAAAAATGGGGCTCGGAGCCCAGCCGCACTCCCGAAGGTGCGGAGGCTGCTGTGTCAGCACGGAAGCAAAGGCCTGTCCCAGCTCTCCCCTCCCTGCCCTTGTTAGGGTTCAGCTCCCCCCTCCCTCGGGCAGCGCTGTCGCTTTGTGCCCATGGCATTGTGCTCAGGAGGGTATCAGCCTGCCCAGACCTCATTGGGAAGAACGGCACTTGCACACGTGCTCCTGGGCATACTTGTGCCGTGCTGACGGTGCCCTTGGTGCCTGACCTGTGCCTGTTTTGGATCCAAACTGGGTTCTTGCAATGCTGCTATTTCAGCAGGGTGGAGACAAGCAACTGGGAGCTGGGGTTGGGTCGGGGAGGAAGCCAAGGGGCAGGAGGAGCCCTCTAAATGGAAAGGCGCAGACCACGTAATACCAGCTCTCATTGAAAGCCCAGACTCTTGGCTTCCATTCCTGGTTCTGGCCAAATCAGTCTATCCAAAATTTTCAAAGCCGATGTTTTTAAGGGGAGAAGGGGAACTTAACTTTTTGCTTACCAGGTCCTAAATTTCCAGCCCTTTGAAAACCAGGGCCAGGTAGTTCCAAGCTGGGAAGTCAAACTCAGTAGCCATGTTTTAGAAAGTCCATCAACGTTTCTCAGGAGTTGTGTGCATGAATTGGGAATGATGGTGCTGCTTATCTATTGCTGCAATCTGCAAAAGCCCCAAGCAGGAGATTCTTACTGCATGTTCCAGAGCAGACCCAAATAGCAAATGGAGGAATTTCTCAGCTGCCTGCAATGGCAGCCATGAGTTGAGTTGGAGGGACAGAGGTGATAGAGTTTCAAAACAGCTGCTGCACTGATGACTCGTGGGAGCCTAAAATTAAAGCCTAGCTCAGTTTTCAGTCCCAGAGCAGCCATCACTTATCTGTCAATAAGGTTCTTCTTTTCCCTTTCAGAGGAAGCAGAGGGTAAGTTAGGCTGCTGCAGCTCGGGAGAAAATCTGTTGCTTTAGAAAAGGCTCTGAAACAGCATGCAAGAAATGCTGTTATTTACCAGTTAATTATTTCTAATAGCTGTGAGCGCAGTAAAGAGAAGCAATCTCATTAGCTCCTACCAGAAGCTCTTCTCAGGTGGCTTTGTAAAGACTTTGGAGACAGAGATGTCACGTTAGAAGTCGCAGGGACCATCTCTTACGGCATTCATGGAGCACATAGTGCAGTGGTGTCTGCTTTATTTTTTAGTAGGCTGCCCTCTCCCTAATACTGCCAAACTCTGCAGAAAAGTATTGTATTAGAATGGGGTTGGTCCAGGTTTCCTCTGCAAACATTTGAGCAAGTCTAGCCACTCTTTTGGGACATCCCTCATAAAGATCTGTTTTGGCATTTAGGTTACCCCATGCCGAAGCCAGCCCAGCTCCATTGCAGTCCTGAGCCTCAGGAGCATCGTTTTTGCCAGGAAGGGACTGCAGTCCTAGCCTCTCCACAGTGTGGGAGTGTTGTGCTACGTTTGATAGAGATCTGAGCCTGCTATCTGCAGTGTGCAAACAATTCTCTAAGAAGAAAAACCAGCATCACTTGTAGATAGCAGCAAGCTGCCGTGAGACTCAGTTTCTGGCAGTAACTTGCTGTGGGAGCCCAGCCTGTTCACCTCAGTTCATGTTCCACAGGAAACAGCAATTGTCATTATTTGATTTGGCTGAGAAAAGTAGTGTAAGACCCTTGGGTGTGCACCTGGGTTGGGCCAAAGGGCATGGGACTGCCCAGCAATTATGTTCCAATTCAGTGTTTGTCACGCTTGCAGTGATTTATTTGTATTGCAAGTCCCTGCAGGGTCCCAGGGTTCTCTTGGCTGCATCCATCACCCCGAGCCCTCTGTGTAGTTCCTCTCTGGTTTTGTGCAGCATCTCTCTGGGCAATTACATCCACTTTGTCTCGCTGCTTTTCCTCTTGCCTGATGGGCAGAATCCAGGGTGAGGGATGTCAGCAGAGGAGGAAAGAATAGGAGATAGTAGTCGGGGACAACATGGGCTTGCAGACATCAGTCAAGCGCTGGCAGTGTGGACACCAGTGAGAGAGGGCTGAGAGACCACTCAAGAACAGCAGTGGTTGTCAATGTGTTTTGCCTGGCACACAGAGATGGTTTTCACGTGCATGACTAAAGCCCACAGCTTGCAAAAAGCATTACTGCGTAAGCTGGTGCCAGGCCAAGTCTGCTCTGTGTCCTTCCTTCAAGCCACAGTTTATTACAAAACAAAACCCCAACCCACTATCCTGGGAAAAATAACTCCGTGAAGCACTTTCTCTGCCAGGAATGCATGGAGGGGTTGGGCTCTCCTCCACCGTGCTGCTTCAGCCCTGCTAGAGACTCCCCAGCAAAAACTAAGAATTTGCTGCCATCTGTAGACATTTGGGCACTGTTCAGGCAGTTTCCCGAGCCCTGCTCACACAGCCCTTATATAGGCAAGACAGCGGTGGCAAAACCTCCTCAGTCCCAAGGCAACCTATTCCTTTCTTCAGCATTTCACCATCTAAGGTAGCTTCTACAGTCTCCAGCAGATTTATTCTCCGCTGTTGGATGCGGGTCCTGCGAGGAGGGTTTTAGCATCCAGCTCCACTGGTTGCAGGCAGAGAGCTTGGACTTTGCTGGGGGGGAGCCAGCTCCTCCCTTCTGACAAAAAGAAAGTCTGTCCCCTGAGGAGTGTATTGCTGAAACCTCACAGTGGCCAGCAAGCTTTTCCCAGCAAAGCTGTGCTCCAGGTCTCCGCTGGGCACCAACAGCCTCTCCTGACAGGGCTGGCTGGGTAGCGGGGACAGCCACCCGTACCCACACTGCACACCCTTCTACGCTGTCCGAGAGGGGACCCCCACTCCCTCTGGTATTTCTGTGTACTTGCGGGCACATGGAGGCCATGCTGCCCACTGACCCACCTGTGCTGCTGGTCCCCAGGCTGCTGAGCTTCCATCTCACTGTCCCCACCATCCTCTGTGAGTTTTACCTCGCAGACATGCTTTGAGAAGGTGATCTGCCATCTCTCTTCCCTAGGGTGTCCCCTCTTCCTTGGGTCAGGAAAATAGCCCTGCAATGGTGAGGGAGTTCAAAACACCCTCTTAGAGGACATAAGACCCTACACTCTCTTTGCTGGATCATGGGGGGCTATTGCCACCCTACAGCATGTCCCACACCATGGCCTTAGAGCACAGCACCTTCTTGCTGGAGCAAAATGGAGTGAACCCCAGCCACATAACTGAGATGTTCGGGGCATTATCACAGTTCCCTGGCGCCATTCACACTGTCACCTGTGCCAATCCCAAAACCTCAGCAGATGAGGAACAGGGGTCTGGACTCATGTCTCCTGCAGACCAGCCCATCGCAGCAGCAGCAGCATCTTCCTTCGCTCCCACAAGTGCTCCAGTGCTGGGAGCTGTGGCAGAGGTTGGCAGAACAGGGGAGGGACGTAGCGATTTATGGTGTCCCACTTCTGCCCCCCAGTTCCAGGGCCAGGCCAATCTGCATGTGTTCGAGGACTGGTGCGGCAGCTCCACTGAACAGCTCCGGAAGAACCTCCACTTCCCCCTCTTCCCCCACGTGAGTAAGACTGCAACACCCTCTGTCCCACGTTTTCCATCTCTGCTTCCCAGCTGGATCACCCCTGCTCCGTTCGCATCCTGTCCCTATCCCTCTCCATCATCTTCTCTGTCCTTCACCTCCTGAGCATTCATCACCTCTGTCTCCATCGCCTCCTCTGTCCTGCCGAGGGAGCAGGAAGCTTTCACAACGGTTCAGTGGTGGCAGCTCTTCTGCGGCACAGGGGGGGCTCATTTTACCCATGCTGGCCTGCCAGCCCTCGGACACAGGGTGAAGAAGCCCTATATT